CGTTGTGTCCAAAAAAAAATTCAAGCGTGAAAATCAAGATACTTATCATGCACAACTAGGCATGGTAAAAAACAATCCTGTGAAGTTTCACTGAAATCCTCCCATCGGCGTTGGTGATGAATCGTGAACAAGATTATTAAAAGGACAGTGCATTTACTATATGCAGCCCTTCAGGAGCATAAACAAGGGTGAAAATTGCTTAAAGCAAGTGGGATTGAATACTTCGGTAAAAGTAATTTTATAAAGTCTCGAATTAAAATACTGCTGAAAACAGAACAATAAAACATGCAAATCTTCTTAAAATATCAATATTAGGTAGCTGTAGACACTTTAAAATGATTTGCATTCTCTGAGGCATATCATAAAAAACTGGTTTATTGTTTACTTTATTACCAGCAATATTACCTAATAAAACTTGTCTCATCCGAGCTATTCAGACAAAACAAGATTGTACAAAAATAAACTTAATCAATAAACATAAAACACCATAAACTTAGAGATTCCTCCTTGGTTTTGGAATAACTACTCAAGGTTTATTAAATAGGAAGATGACAAATTTGTAATTTGTTACGTAAAATTATTTTTTCCATTCTTTTGCAGAGACAATCGCAACTACTCGGCCCTTTCCGTCAGTCTTCGGATAAGGACCTCGAACACAATAGTATGAATACACAGAACGGATGCGGTATTTCGGTCTAACCTACGCTAAGAAACTAAACATGTAAACAAATAGTAATTTAATGCTGGGAGTTGTTTACAAGTTTATTTTCAATATATGTAGTAAACGTTCACCTCAAATAAGTGATATCATAGATACAAAAGCAAACAATTCATTATTTATATATTTATTATTATGGTTGTAGAAACCGAAAGTACAAAAAACCAACCTGTTGACATTTCGTCGGATTTATTCAAAATTGAACCTCAGAGGGCATATTTAAATAACAAATTGTTGTCGGACATATTTTCAAGCATAAGAGTACTGGAACAGACATTAGATGTCAAATATATACATTCGTTTCACATTATCTCTGTTTCTGTTTACATCAGTAAACCACGTGGTAGAACTACTTTCAATCCGTATTGTTTCCGAGGTTAATATTGTAGATGATAGCCGAGGCAGTTCCAAATGTTGCAGAGAATCATGATTCAGGGAGAAGTCATTTCTCCCTTCAGGAAAAATAGGAAAAAGTTTTAAAATTAAGGGAGAAGTCATTTCTTCCTTCAGGAAAAATAGGAAAAAGTTTTAAAATTAAGGGAGAAGTCATTTCTTCCTTCAGGAAAAATAGGAAGAAGTTTTAAAATCTAAGCAGAAGTCATTTCTCTCTTCAGGAAAAATAGGAAGAAGTTTTTCAGGAAAAATAGGAAGAAGTTTTGAAACTTAGGGAGAAGTCATTTCTCCCTTCAGGAAAAACAGGAAAAAGTTTTGAAATTTAGGGAGAAGTCATTTCTCCCTTCAGGAAAAATAGGAAGAAGTTTTAAAATCTAAGCAGAAGTCATTTCTCTCTTCAGGGAAAATAGGAAGAAGTTTTGAAATTTAGGGAGAAGTCATTTCTCCCTTCAGGAAAAACAGGAAAAAGTTTGAAATTTAGGGAGAACTGTCATAATACTGTGTCATTAATGAGGGGCTGTTCAGATTTCATTCCATTCCCAGTCTAAATATTATAATATATATCTTTCCATGTTTATACATCGTATATATGTACATTTTACTTTTAGGAAGTACAAACTTTGAGATCATATAAAATGATGTTTTACCATCAGTGATTTTTTTTTACCTTTTCATTATCTGTAAAAGCCTATTCCTTTGAAATTGGGAAATTTAAGTGCCATAACCTTATGGAAAATAGAACAAGAGGGCCATGATGGCCCTGAGGTCGCTCACCTGTATATAGACATATGGGTTTTTTCAAAGAAGATTTTTTAAGTTTTTGCTATACACATATAAGGAAAGTCAGTGACCCCCCGGGGCAGGGCCAATTTTGACCCCAGGGCTTTTATTTGAACAAACTTGGTAGACACTTATTAGAACATGTTTCATGCTAAATATCTTAGCTCTAACTCTTTGGGTTCTTTAAAAGAAGATTTTTTTAAGTTTTTACTATATGCATATAGGGAAAATCAATGACACCCTCAGGGGCGGGGCCAATTTTGACCCCAGGGCTTTTATTTGAACAAACTTGGTAGACACCTATTAGAACATGTTTGATGCTCAATATCTTAGCCATAGCTCTTTGAGTTCTTTAAAAGAAGATTTTTTAGTTTTTTTACTATATGCATATAGGGAAAATCAATGACCCCCCGGGGAGGGGCCAATTTTGACCCCAGGGCTTTTATTTGAACAAACTTGGTAGACACCCATTAGAACATGTTTCGTGCTAAATATCTAAGCTCTAGCTCTTTGGGTTCTTTAAAAGAAGATTTTTTAAGTTTTTACTATATGCATATAGGGAAAATCAACGACCCCCTGGGGCGGGGCCAATTTTGACCCCAGGGCTTTTATTTGCACAAATTTGGTAGACACTCACTAGAAGATTTTTCATGCCAAATATCTAAGCTCTAGCTCTTATGGTTTTTTAAAAGAAGATATTTAAAGTTTTTTCTTTCGGTTGCCATGGCAATCAGAGTTCTGCATGAAATTAAATTCTTTGAACAATTTTTAAAGGTGACCACCAAAGGAACATTCCTGTGAAGTTTGGATGAAATTGGCTTAGTGGTTTATGAGGAGATGTCATTTAAAGTAAAAGTTTACGGCCGGACGCCGGACGGCCGGACGCCGGACGAAAAGCGATCACAAAAGCTCACCCTGTCACTTTGTGACAGGTGAGCTAAAAAATAATGAACAAATTTATAAAATATACAACACTTACTTGTATGACTGTACAATGCATGTTTAAATGTTTGTTCAAAGGACATGATGAAGATAAAATTCATCCCATAGAGTTACCTTTGATAACTAAATAATAAATATTGGTGAAAATTTACAGCATGTCAAATGACAAATGTCAAAACAAACTTTCCATATAACAGATGCTGATTGCTAAAGTAAATACATTCAATGCAGTTTTCAATCAGACAAAACATTTTCTGGCAAATTAGGTTGCAATTCATCAAAGTTTTAATACATTTTCAATAGAGACTTCAAATTGTCAATTTTAACTAGAGTAGACTGGAATAAGATTGGGAACTACTTAAGTAAACAATATTATTGTGTGAGACAGAAACTGTAATATAAAGAATTTCTTTATTCATCTGACAATTACTGAATTAGTCTTGTTAATGTATTAAAGGGACTCCACTAAGGTTTTTTGACCTTGAAATATTTTGATAAATTTTTGTTCCTTTTGATGTTAGTCTTGACCAATAGCATTTGTGCAAAAATACAGATCCTTTGCTAACTCCGATTTTCCAGAGTAATTCAATACATTTCTATGACTTTCAATTTATTTCTGAGTATATTTCTTATTAGTCTTGCATATCTTTCTGTTTTAAGGTGTCCCACTTGATCTATGTCAAAAGTTCAATGTTATGTGTTTATGATTTTTGACCTCAGTGAAGTTCCTTTAAAGGCCCCAAGTTTGAAATTTCAGTAATATTCTAAGAATCATGATTAAAACAAGTCATATTGATGGAAAAAATTGGGGGTTCACCGGCCTACTTTTTGAGTTATCTGCCCTTGAAAGTGAGTTTTTGATCCTGTTAAAATCATCGGAGCTGCTAAAAAATGGAATACCAGTATAACATTAATTTTGACCCTATTTCTTTGCTAGTTCTAATATGGTGGACATGTTTAGTTTCTGAATCCGAGACTGTCAGTTGTTAATTGGAAGAATGAAATACTGAAACTAAGAGAAGCTTAAAGTATGTAGATGTTGTAAGTATTGTACCAGCTCCTTATTCCAACAGTATCAACAGCATTGTTGATTTATGCTAAAAGTGTTAATGAGATTTCAAGGCAATGATGTATTAGATTTGAAAAGCTAGACAAGATTTCACAAATAAAGCAGTCAAGTTACTGGAATAAAAGCGCATTACAGGATTTATCTGCTTGTACCATAAATCGTATATTCTACCTAAAAGCATTCTGAAATCTGTTTATTTCTGTTTAAGTAACCAAAGCAACAAGACTTGTAAGTATTCCCAGACTGTAAAACAGGAGCCTACAAATAAGCCGAGTTAAATGAAACCAAATCAACAAATTTATTGGCAAGTGCTCCTTAAATTACATTATAAAGTCCTTGTTATCCACTAAAATACGACGACTTGGTGCTAAACTCCTGTATCTGCTTCTTTAATTTATAGCAGTTACAACACCTTGCCTTTCAACAGCCTGTGACAAGGTCATTGGATGGTCGCAGACGACCAATTTGTCAATCAACTGAAGCCAATCAGTGGTTAAATCAATCAACCTTCAATTGAAAAGACTTATCAAAACTCCCATAACCAGAACAAGTGATGTAAATTGATTGAACTGGGCAATTTTCACACTTACTAATGACCATTGAAATGTTAGGCACTGTCAATCGGTGGAAAAAAATCTATTTATACTGATAAGAAGCTTACGTAACCTTCCAATTAAATATAATTTTCTAGTATTGTTTGCAGATTTTATGTGGTAAGTCTGGCCTTTAAAAAAGATAGGTAATGTAAATATGGTGTCTGGATAGAAGTTTGAAGTCAAGACTGTTTTCTTACATCACATCTGTCATCATTATTTGCTTTTTTTGGTTGGGTTTTGCGTCACACCAACAGAGTTGAGGTCACATGGTCACTTTCCAGCTTTACTGGTGGAGGAAAATCTCAGGTGCCCTCTTGTGCATTATTTCAGGCTACAACAAGCACCTGAGTAAAACTAACGATGTTAAGCTAGCTAGTCAACATGGTCAAGGTCAGAGGCAGGTGGTTCCAATACACTCAAAACATTCATGAAAACATGCTTCAAGTTTAAACTTGCAATACTACTTAAATGCTACAATACTAGAAGAATTGAAGACAATTACCTTCACCTGAAGCATCAAATGGAACACCACGAGTAGACTGGTTACCCCCCATAATCTGAGCACATCCTAATGTGCACCCCAGTCTGCCAGATAACCAGTCTCGTAATCTGAATTGAGGCTCTACATCAGTTGCTAGACAACCAGTCTTCTATTTTCAAAAAGAGGCTTTTACAAGCGGTCTCCTGAAAAAAAAGGCAAGGTATTCATTCAAATAAGCAACAAAACTAATTTTTTTGCAAAGCATCAAGGTCACCACATGTTTTTGTACTAAGAATGTAATTTCATAATCATATCTATGAAGCATGTGCAAATATTACTTCAGACATTGTGTTAATTAGTGCAAATGTACAAATTTATTAAGTGGTTTTAGCTAAAAGAGACCTATTCATATGTTATTTTCACAAAGGAAGGATTAGTGTATTGAATTAAGTGGTCTGCATTTGTAAGTTATATCTCTGCTGCACTTAAAGCTATTTCATCTTAGTAGAACTACTGTGATCATACTTAGTCAATAGTGCTTATCTAAGGATTTATAAATATTTCAAGTGATAAACACCATCAAGTAGACTTTTGTTTCAACTTTTTTGAATTGCTTGATATTAGGTCTGTAAACTTGCCTATAAAAAGAATGTGGGTTATGAATTTTGGAAGAAGTGATATATATACGTATTGAATGTGCTTACACATACTCATAACAATAAAACAAATAAGTATTCTAGAACTCAAGTCAATGTCTATTATTGTCAATACAATTTCCCAATATTATTTGTTTAAACAATGCAAATTGATTGTTTATTTTACAATAATAGTGCTTGCTCCTTTCAGAATAATGACGTGACCCGATAGCACAAATTTCATGAGTATAACAAAATGTTGCCACATTTCCACACAACGGCACACATCAACAATGAGTTAAGCTTTAATTTTCATTTGATTTTTAAAGATAAGTACAAGCTAAAAACAACGTTTTAATTAATTCAAGTTTAAAACAATTGCAAGTTGAAATAGATAAACAAATTTTTACTAGAGGTTTTTTTCACAGATATTGGGAGGGGGGGAAGCCACCCTTTTAGGCCCCAGGTGATAGAAAAGGAAAAGCTCATGAATCAAATTGAGTTTTCATAAAATTTCTAAAACTTGATTAATATGCTGACAAATTCAACTGCTTGATTTTTTTTTACTTGTTTTTGTTATATAAAATTTACCCTCCTTAACTCTCTTAACCAGATGGCAGAAACTGATTCCATGTGTGCCAATATTTGATCATTGTCTGCACTGTTTGCTACTCAGTTAAGTATTGAATATTGAAATTTTCCAGAAAAATGATGAATGACTTTGTCTAGATTGAAAGATCGACTAGTCCATTTATGTTAATAAACATGGTTTTATTGTTTTCATGGATACATGTATATGGTGCACCAACACAATTTAGGTCATCACAGGACAAGACAACAACGCAGAAACAAGAAAAGATGATTTTGACTAACCTCGGGTGTTACAAACTTAAAGCAGCACCAGAGGTCAAAACCACCTCACTTGCTGGAGCTAAAACATGCATAGACTCTAGTAATTCAAACAAATTTTTTCTTGCATAATCATACTGCCAAATGGTTTGTAATTAATCACGGCATGCTTACAGCATTACAGTACACATGAATGCTCTAAACATGCAATATTCTAGTACAACAGTACTCAATATTTGTATCTTTTAACCAAGATATTAAACATCAAAGAATTAATTTACGACTGCGAAGCTTTTAATTTACTAATTCAAGTCACTGGCAATATATATATCTCATTCCACCATTTCCATAAATAGTAAAACGGAAAATTGACAGTAAATCAGACCGCAAAGAATCATATTTATGAGAAATAATGTGAATGTTTTGATGTCGTAAATTGATATTCTAGTCATTAAGATGTCAGTATGCCTCTCAAGGGCTTAAAACATGCAATGTCATATTTTGTTAATCTAAATATAATGCTTTACCATTTTCATTATGATTTAATCTATCTCTAGCAACAGTACAGAAAAAAATATACCATGTATACCACATGACCTGATGTCATTTGAATCCAGTCTTTTTCATCTTTTGAAATAAAATTTACAGGAAAAGAATTGTTTGCTAGCCTAGTTCAATAGGGAAAGCACCATTTGTAATCCAGGGGTCAAGGGTTTGATCCTTAAATGAGGCACCTTGACAATTTCATGTAGTCTGACCATGCTAAAAGGCACGCAGAGTATGCTCGCAATACCATAGACAGCAGACCAGTCATCGAATTTAGCACTGGTCCGGTGGCCCATGGCCAGTGCTAAATTAGTTCAGGCCAGTGCTAAATTAGTTTTTGGGCCAGTGTAAATTTTAAGAATATTTACTTAAATATATAGTAGAATAAATTCAAAACTGGAATTCGGGCCAGTAAATTCAAAATCTTAAATTCAATGACTGTACAAAGAGTTTTACCACATATAGACTTCAATATTTTGATGACTTACCAGGTTTTTTTCCCTTAATTGTGAAGAGCCCAAGGCCTTTCTAATTTCTGAAAGACATTATCAAAATTTTTCTTCAAATTGTGAAATTTAAGGTTTTTTTATCCCTTAAAATTAGAACTAAAAGAGGACGCTCATATTGTTGACATACGGTATTTTGTGAAACACAATTTGAGTCTCAGAATTTCCTTTCATTGACAAAAACGAATCATTTCAGATATTTAGAATTAAGTACTTTTAACTTGGAAAATGTTTTAGTGTATGAGGTGACTCCAAATTTCCCAAATGAAACTTTGCATTTTATTGTTATAACAGTTTTGCAGCGGTATTCAATTTAGAGAAACTTTCAATTGTGAAAGTGTCATTTCTTTCAGTTATGAAGTTAGAATTATGGGTGCTGGCATAATTGTGTGCTGTCTGATTCTGGTCTGCACAGCTCACTACTCAGTATTTTTTTTGGAAATTTTCCTTGAAAGTGATGAATAGTTTTGTTCATATTGAAAGATGGGGGGCAAGTTCCTTTAATTTATTTTGCATAGTGCATGTAGTAAGGGTTAAATAAATGCTGTCATAATAGCACTGGCATGGTTTAAGAGTAACCTTGGAAAAAAGGTTTTTACATGACACTAGGAATATTTGAAAGGTTTTAAAATGAACTGTTGGAACTTGAGCTGAGATCATAACAAACCCGAGTTTGCCATCATTTTAGAGCCAGGCCAGCATTCATGCCGGTGTAACCTGACAAAAATCTTAACAGTTGGCTACTAAATTTCAAATTTTTTAAACAAAAGTCCATAAAACTTTTAATGGACTTTCAAAAACTCTAAGCTGGGCAAATTCAGCGACGTAAATGATGGCAGAAAATTTCTTGAGAAAATGGACTACTTTTGTACATATTTTTAGTTTTAATATACATGTATACAAAATTAATTTTAGTTTAGTGTAAGAGGCTATGATAAGCTTATAGACACACTTCTTGATCAGATCCTGGAACCAACCAGTACTGAGCTGAATCACGGGGGAGGAAGTGTTACACAAAGGATGGAGTTCTTATGATAACTTGTACAGGAGTTCTTGTGATAACTGTCATGGAGTTCGTCGGAAAACATCTGTATATACTACAAAAACACTCGTTAAAATGGTTATTGTCATCGTTCAAAAATGAGTTTTAGGTGCTAAATTAAACTTTAATTATTAAGCTTGTCTTACATCTTGTATTATGTGTCAAAGCCTAATTCACAGGCCATTTTTCATCGCCTCTTGCTTCAAATCTGGTAGTTTTGAGTAAAATTTCCAAATTACTTGCCAATTCACAAGTTTTGACTGGTTTATTTCTGGTCTTCATCCATCCCATACATAATTACCTAATTATAATGCAAAATTGCAAACATTAAGCACCGGCTAACAGATTTATACCCGATTTTTCAAATGTCCCGGAGTTCTTGTGATAACTCTGAAGATGTCACAGAGTTCTTATGATAACTTTTGTTATTGCCAGTGTGTTTCTTGCGCTAAATCACGGCACTTTTTAGTGTTTTTTATTATTCAATGAGATTGTAAATCATTATGAAATGTAGTACGCTCATCCTATAATCCTTATAATGTTGGTTTTGAGTGAATTTTAGTTCAAGAGATATTATTTCTTACCCCCGTTTCTTTATCAAAGTATTTCTTTTTGTTTGACGCATATTTCGTAGACATGAAAAAGGATTTATGTACTGGTTTCCTAGCAGTTTCCGGCTCCTAGCAGTATTCTGGCCCTTTATCATTTTCATCCAGGCATACAGTCTATTTTTTCTCAGTTAAGCATCTATGTAACTGCATCAGTCCGAGTAACATTTGTTTTCTTTGTAATACAGCAGTTATAATAGTACAGCGATTAATATGTTTTAAAATTTTGTCTGTTGTTTTAAGTTACATTTGAGAACTTGCGACACTTACAAGCAACACCTGGGGAATTCTAGTTTGAATGCCAATGCACAATTACTGAAATCCCATTCTAGGTAAATCACAATAATAACAAAAATATAAAGTCAAACTTAGTTCGCTCGAACCTGGAGGGGCAGTTCAAATTTGTTCGAGAGATCGGTAGTTAGAGCCAACCGCAGTTGAGTTTTTATCATGTATCGTACTTTTTCAAGACACAGGTGTGAAAGTTATCCTGGTTTTAAACTTATTTATTATGGTATAAAATGATACAAATTACTTAGCCCTTATAGGTAAGGGAAGCATGCCTATATATTGTCTGCTTAAGAAAGGTGGGTGAAACTGAGTTATGAGACATTTTTGTTTTGTTGTTTAAGCCATTATACTGCTGAATATCAGTGGCCGCTGGTTCAATTTTTTACTGTAGCTGATAGCCTATCATCTATTTATCCTTTGCAGACACTTAATACAAACGTTTTGTCCACATTTTTGTGCAAAAGATGATCGTACTCATGCATTTCAAAATGACTTATAATCTTATTAAATGATAATAAACGCCAAAACGTGCCGTGATTTAGCGCAAGAAACACACTGGCAATAACAAAAGTTATCATAAGAACTCTGTGACATCTTCAGAGTTATCACAAGAACTCCGGGACATTTGAAAAATCGGGTACAAATCTGTTAGCCGGTGCTTAATGTTTGCAATTTTGCATTATAATTAGGTAATTATGTATGGGATGGATGAAGACCAGAAATAAA